CATCAATACCAAACCCTCACGCAGTACTAGTATTAATATTAGTAGTACGATTACTACTATTCTTGCTTGCTTGAATATTTGCACCGAGACCAGCAAACAAAGCAAATCGCAGTTCGGCGCCGTACTGGCGGTGTCACCTGAAACAGGACTATGGGAATCGGAATTCCTGAAGAGCTTTTCACACGACAACTGTCCGCAGATTGCCGCTAAACATGACAGGCAGAAGATGTTTTTCTTGATTTTGTTTGAGTTGTTTTTGATCCCGGGCCGATTAAATTACATGTTACGTTTTTTTGATCCACACCCTTCTACTGTCAGGTGCCCTGTCGCTGGCGTCGTTTGAAGCATTAATCCGAGCCTGGATGCCCAGCATTGCTCATGCACGAGCATTGCATTGTGCTCAGGGCCTGCAGCTACAATCCAAGACTAGAGTCTTTCATAAGCTGCGCAATATCCATGGGAGCCAGAGCACTTGTTGCGGCTGTTCCAAGGCTGATCTGGCCTTCGGCAATCCTGATGGGGAGCTCCAGGAGCTGTTTGTGCGAATGGCTGCGCCCTCGTTCTTTGGCCGCCGCGCCCTTCCGTACAATCAGCAGACATAAGGTCGAATGTCACCCTGATCTACCGGATGGACTGTTCCATGCTTTGTCAAGCTGCCGAAACTTACTCGCAACTGCACCCTGAACGGCTCGGCATGGCATTGCCAGGCTGTCGGCAGCTATTACAGAATCTCCTGCATTGCTGGAGTCGATATCTTAGCCGAAAGTCTCGGGACATGATGCCATGGCATCGTGCTTTGGGGACATGATCACATGCAAACTGCATGTCCGGACAGTCTCGTTGCGTTTCGTGATCTTGCCGCTGCGTTCAAGGTCCATGTGCGTTTGGGCAAAGCTACAGCCACAGAGCGGTTGCAGCAAGTGCTACAGAGCGAGAGTGGGGATGGTTATGTGTATGCACGCGAACTGCGTGAACCGAGGAGTTGCTGTGCGCTGTGTCCTTGAAGACGGAAACTTGTAGATTCTCGGTGGCTTGGGATTTAGGGCTTTCGGGTTTAGCGTCGTTCGGAAGCTCCCGATACTGCAAAACGAGATGCAAAGATGTGAAGCGATCTCACATTGATGTTTCAGAAGCAGCCGGTTCAACTGTCGGTCGGGTCAGTCCAGGTTAAACAAGAAAACTGAGAGCAACATTTAAACAAGTGGACACAGAGGGGGTGGGGGCAGAAGGATCAATCGAAGAAAAGCCAAGCACAACAACACTTGCTGCAGGAGTTGCCATGCATAAACTCAAAAAACCCAACCGAATGCATCCATCAAAGCATGGTGACACACGAGGAGGATATTGTGTCGGCACTCGACAGCTAGGTGGAAGGAGTCACATAGCACATCAACACCGTGAAGTGAGAGCGTGGTCTTAAGCCTTGTTTTGTAGTCCCAGCTCTCGGCAAGTCTACATCTTTCTGGCAGGCGTGGTCTCAAAGGTCCGCAGAGTCATTGCAGAGCAAGACGTGGTGAACAGCGTACATAGCAAGTAGCGGCGGCCATTGGCCCTTTCTAATCGGGATTGCTTGTGGTTTCAGGTCGTCTGGCAGGGCGTCGCTGGCACTGGCAGCTGCAAAGGCCATGTCAATGCCCAAATCTCAGCTCGTGCTCCAACAGGAGCATCAGTCGGGTGTGTTGGTTCGTTTTGGTTCGGAAGCCTGCGTGGCAGTTCATGCATCGCATGTATGTGCCGTTCCTTTAAGTAAGGAGCACAGCCGACGAGGACTGGGCCACGTACTCAAGACTCAAAAGACCGCCACAGCCACAATCGGCCATGCAAGCCATGACACCCGCTTCTGATTGAAATCTTGAAACCATGCACCCCGTGATCTCGTGCGCGGTCTGCGGTAGCTCTTTGAAAGCGTTTCCCAAGGCAGCGGACACGGACAACGACCTTACGTCACCTAGAGGTCGCTCCGTTCACTGTCATATACCGCAATGATGCGATGCGATATGATGCGATCACGGCACGAAACCTTGCAACTGCTGATCCCAGAAGGCTCGACGGCTGCCGGGAGTGAGTCTGCCCTCGAGGCAGGAATGGGACCATCACTCACGCACGCAACACCCGAATCTCGCTCTCAATCCTTGTCAGATGTTTGTGAACTCCAAGCGCTTGAGCTTTCCATGACATTCTGCATCTAGAGAAATGTTCGGACGCAGCAGGCCAACTTATCGAAGCAAGCGTTGGTATCTAAGCATTTGTGCTTTTTTTGCCCGCCAGTTATTTCCACGAGCCATTCGACAAAGGTCAGAAGCTTCATTGGCAGTGCGACCCGAAACACCACTTCAGGCCAGAATTCTGGCATGGGCTATGAGATTCAAGCCTCTGCAGTTTGCGTGAGCCAGCTTCACGGTAGTCCACGTAAGTAAGGTTGCTGCGAGCAATGCCGACTTGGATGCAGCCGTGGCAGAAGATTGTGCGGATGACGCGCCTGAACTTAATCGAGTCAACGTGGTACGCAACCTAAATCAAGTTCGATTAGATTCTAGCGACAGCTGCGAGAGTGAGAAGCATTAGGTCATGTCTCTGAATTCGCCTGTGGATGGGGGGAGGCATTCTGGGTTATGGAGGGGGGTTCATAAAGAAGTTTATACATGTAGAAGGCTTGATATAGAGAAGTTTAATAAAGGAGATGTGTGAGAAGGGTTGATTCAAAGCTTTTGTTGGGTTTTGAGTTCAACGGAAGGGCGAATTGTAGTCTTGCTTGCATGGATGAATGCGTAGGTGAATGGATAATGAATGGATGCATGAGATGCTTGAGATGACGTGACCTGTCGGAGCTGACCACCTCGCTGCTCCGAAAGTTGTCGAGACACTCGTTCTCTCGCTGAGGGTTCAGGGGATGGGGGTTCACTGGTTTGGTGTTTGGCTTTAAAAGTTTACAGTTAGGGCTCATAGGTCGCAGGTTTAGGATTTAAAGCTTCGGGGCTTGAAGTTTCTGGCAGTCAGTAAGTCCAGCTTTAGTAAGCTGTGGCGGTATGGATAACGTCACATATTTACGAGACACCAAGCACCAAAGCATGAAAGAAGCCTGTAAGAACGTGCATTCATAAATTGTACAAGAATATAGTTGAGTACAATATAAGTGTAGTATATAGCTCAGCTTTGACACACGTTGTTCGCCAGTGCATCATAACAGCAACATATGAAACACAAGCGTCCATGATCGTTACTCGAATGATCTCGAAGATCAGCGTCCGTTTCCCCACTCGTCTCTCGAATTACCTTCTTCGAGTTCCGGCGTCCAAACGTCGCCCAGCGTTTCCCGAATTTGGCACCCGCATCTCTTAGTATGCATCTTGAGCGCATGTCACGGCCAAAGATGGAGCTGTCGGCAAGGCACAGAGAATCTTCAAAGACATGAAGGAGAATGGAAGCGCAGAGCTTAGTGTTGCCAGCTCTTGTGCAACATGAAGCTATTCCGCTTATCTTTGCCATGAGGTGCTGATGTTGTCTCATACAACATCATGCTGAAGCTCTACATGGGCCAAAAAGGCCTGTGCTTGGTTGAGTCGGTCTGCCTTGTTTTATGTGCTGCCAGCTGTCCATTGCAGTCCAGGTGATTCCATGCAGCTGGCACGTGCCCTTCTTGAGGCCTTGGCGCTTTAGAGTACTCCGGACGACGGAATGGAGCTAGGACAATGTGGCATTCAACCGTTTGTCGATTGGGTCAATGGGTCAGGAAATGGTTCAGTCCGGTTTGCGACCAACGACCGCGACGTACAACTCGATCATCAGCCCACGCCTCAGCTGATGCAAACACCCACAACGGGGAGAAGTGAGCATGGCACACCATGGACAACATCACCCTCCTGACGAGGTGGAGCGCTTGCGCACGGAGACGTGGCCGGCGCCTGAGGAGGGAAGCGAAGACGGCGGAAGGGTGTCGAATCCAGGACGTGGCCTGGCGCACGATCGACGGAATGGAGAGCTGCAGCCTCGGATGTTGGAAGCCGGCAAGGCGATCGGGTGCTGATGCCCTTGCGGCGGCATGTACCACAGGAAATGGCCCACCTCTCGACGCCTACACCGTGAGCATCATCCTCAAGGCTGCCATGACAAGCCACAGAGCTACAGGAAGCATAAGGAAGCCAAAGATAGCGGTAGTTATGTTGATGCGGTCTCTTCTTCCCTGCCAGGGCTGTTACCGACCCTGAAATGTCCCTGAACCCTATGCCGGACCACCCCTGCAGGGCCTGAATCGTAATGTCTGTTCTGGCAGGGAACCAAAGCCCAGCGCGCTTTGGCACCCGCGGAGTTCGACCGCGCTCTCGACCTGGTGTCGAGGTGCAAAAGGGCCAAAAAAGGCTAAGGAGGCTTGGGATGGCTTGGGTCGGTGAGTCGACATGCAAGGCATGCCGTCAAGCTGGACGAGGTTCTCGTGAATGTCATCTTGGAGGCGGGCCGCACAGTTGTTGTCTTAAACGAACGAAGAGCAGAAGGGGCTAGCAAGGGTGAGTCACCTGAACACGTAGTAGCACCTCTTTCTGTACTTGAAGGGGGCTGTTAGTTGCATCGATGTCTGGGGGTCGAAGTGTGTTTTGTGCTTGTTCCTTTGGGCCGATGGAATTCCCGAGCAACGAACAGTACACTTAAGGGGTTGGTGGGAGCCCCAAAGTATATGAGTTGTGGGGTGTGGTACATAAACACACATGATTGCGGTTTGCTTGCCAGGCTTGTGTGGCTCTTCGAGATACCAGGCGACTTCAGCACGTGCTGGCGATGTTGAAAAGGCAGCTGCTCGGGAGAGTGATGCATCTCTGGGGTGGTTGTTCGAGAAGGACTGCAGAGATTGACACCCTGGATGAAGCTCCAGTGCGACCAGGAATGGCTGGGACCTGCCCAAGCGCTGTTGCAATCCCACCTACGCGGCTCTCATCAAGGACCATCGCAGCCGGACAGTGTTCGCTTGGACCGATCAGTTGACAATCTAGAGCTTCCCAGGCCTACGGGTCAGCCGGCCAAACAGTGAAGGCATGTGCCTTGTGGGACGACATCACCAAAGTGCAGGACAAGTTGAAAGCGAGGGCTATCAAATTCATATCAAACTCCTTTGCAGTTGTGCGGTCCCTGGGGCTGCTCTACCAGAGCTGCGGCAATGCGCCCTCTTAGTTTCCGTAGCGCAGGGTTGTATACTTTTGTACATCCTTCGTCCCCCTGCCCTTCTCTCAGTGATGCCAGCTGCAACGCCAGTTCCTCGTGCTGCAGATGAAATTCCTTTGCATGTTGACGCCAGGGACTTGAGCCAAGCGAACATGTCTACGCGCAAATGATCGACGTCCTGGTCATGGGCCTTTCCGGCACTTGGTTATCACCGCTTCACCGGCCTGCAGCCTCTGAGAGAGACGGATGCGCTAAAAGATCTGGCCAGGTGGCAACCTGAAGCATGCCCTTCAGCTTTTTGCAGAAATGCGAGACGTCCATCGGGCGAGGCAAGTCCCCGCAAACGCTCTGCCGCTCTGTGCTCTCCCAGTCCCCGTTGCATGCACTGCTTCAGTCCTTGTTTGCGGCTGAGTTGCTAGTTCCCACTACTTCATGCCAGTGGTGCAAACATGCCGACGCTAGTGTTCTCACACAGTGATGCAAGACAGGAGACATACAAGCTGCTTGTAGAATCACGTTCGTGCCGTCCGTGTGCCCAGCCTTCCTGCACATCTTACTCTTGAAAGTGGCGATGTATACAAGACCTAGGTTGTAAGCATGTTTCTACACGTTCGATTCTTTGGCTAGCGGCTAGCACAGAAAAAACGGGCATTCTTGTCCACAGCGGTAGCGTCGTTTTGGAAGAGCCAAATCGGATTTGTCCAATGCACGTGTATCGGTCTTTCTTTAAGGCTGGGGGAATCGGTCACCAACCCGGCGAGCACGAAATCTCCGATCTGCACGGGAGAAAACCCCAATGAGGGGCCCCTCAGGATGTTCGACCAGGCTTCGGGCCACTATGCGCTTGTACTTCCATTACGCTACATAGTAAGCTACCATACGTTTCTGCTGTGATGTGCCTAAAGGTCAATTCAGCTTGCAGCGAGCGTGGAACGAGAGTGAGACACAAAGCCTAAACCAAGCCGGCCACGTTCTGCACACTGCACGGGAGCATAGTGTTCGCTCCTCCCCCCGCAAAAGACAGAGAGAGAAAAAGGAGCTTGGAGAGGATGGGCCTGTGAGACCCAGATTGCAAAATGGAGATCCCATCAGCCGGCCGTGGCCTTGGAGTCAGGTTCGGATCGAATGCCTTTGCCATTGCCTATGCCATGATCGTGCGTGGATACGCCCAGCAAAAGGACGGCGTGCGCAGCGCTGCGCAGCCTTAGCCATGCTTTCAGGGACACTTCTCCCATGCCTTTGCAGGATGCTGTGAGAGCTTTGGAGTGCTATGAGGAGATGAAGGCAGTGGGCGGCGATGCATGAAGATGTACACCGTTCTGTGCTTCAGGCCCAGGGAGTTCCGGTGGGCCTCGTGGTCCTCAACACCTTGGTGGATGCCTGCTGCAGAGCAGGGGACATGACCCGAGCAGCTGAGCTGCTTCAAGATATGGCTTGAGCCCAAGGCAAGAGTTCAACGAGTCGCACACTGTCCGACAAGCATCACGAGGCTACCTTCGACCTTTCCCCAGACCTCATCACCTACAGCACGTTGATTAAGGGACCCGCACTCGGCAAGTTGAGTATAGCGGCGCACAGGCAATCACAGGCCGGTTGATGCTTCCAAGGCTACTGCGTCACCGGCGACTTGGATCATGCGCTTGAGCTCTTCGGCGCCATGCGCCGCCGAGGCGCCATCTTTCCGAATGTTTCCGTTGGGGCACAGGGTTTGGCATCGTTTGGCTTTGTGCTTGGTTTAGCTCTTTGAATCTCGGCGAAAGTGAGAGGTGTTCACCACTAGAATAGTTTCGATCCTGACTCATAGGAACAATTCCCGAACCGAAGCCTTGCAGGTGGCTCGGTAGGAGACGGAACAACAAATCAATCTGGCTGAGCCGGAAGTCCTGGTCCTAGACAAGAGAACCCATGCAGAAAGCAAAGTCCTCATGTCAGGGCTTGGAGCGCGGGCCACACATCGAATCACAAACGATCACTTTTGTACAGTCCTCATGGCTGACGGCGTCCCGCTCTTTGTGCATCCTCCCTGCAGGTATCAAACCCGACGCCATCGTGTTCAACAGTTTGTTGGATGGATGTGCCCGGAAAGAGATGCCCATGCTTTGTGAGCAGGCCTCACGGGGCAATTCAGGCACAAACCAAGACACAGGCACGAAAGTTCTTTTCCAGTACAGCTGCAATACTGTCTTGCGACACGGCCAGCCGGCTACGTGATTTGCCAGAGTTGGGTTGCTAATGACTGCAACGGCAAAGCAGCACATAAAGGGTTGCTTCCCTGTGGATTGTGATCAGGTGCAGCGTTGTCATAAGACATAAGACAGGTGATTGAGGACATGGTTTCGGCTGGTGTTCAGCCCAGCAATTATTCTGCCAGTGGCTCAGAGTGGCCAACGGTGTCTCTCCTGTCTACACCGATGCGTAAGAATTTCTGAGTGGGCGTGCCTTCAACAATCCTGCAGCTCCAGTGGTTGACGTTCTGCAGCAACGCTTCTCCGACATGCAAGGCTTCCATCCTGATCAAGCTCTACGGCCGAATCTCAGATTTGGATGCAGCATTCAAGGCAGCGAACACTGCTGACCAGTGCCTTCCTACACAACGTGCGTAGGCCTCTGTTCGAGTGCTCGTCAGGTGCTGGATGAGATGCCGCAAAAGTTTGGGTTCCAGCCCAATACTGCCGCAACACTGACATGAGATCAGCTGCTGTATGAACTTGTCGAAAGTAGGTAAGGCGTGCGGAGAAGATCACGACAGCATGTTCGTGGCAGGTGTACACCACACTGATGTCCTCGTGCACATGGAGACTTGGTCAAGAAAGATGAACATCTTGTGCCTCAGTGGAACCACGTGTACACAGAAGCCATTCTGAGCAAGTTTTGTTTGCCGGTTCTACCGGAAGATTTGAGGGTGGTGTTAGTGGAAGGAGACTGCTGCTCCCTGTCTCTGTTTTGCATACAGTCGTCGCAGTTGACCCTTTCGTTAGGAATGGGAGGATGGACCTGGCGATGGGTCTCCTAGATCGGATGCTTCAGGCATGGACCTGCCCAGCAGAGTGAGATTTCATGGGATTCCATGTGTCAGGCTGGGCAGCTACCAGACGAGAAGACATACGTGACCTTGATGCGAGGAGTGCGCACCTTAGAGCCAGTAAGAGTTTATTTTTCTTTCGGGAGTGATCGTTGTTTCTCGCGTGTTTGTGTGTGTGTGTGTATGTTTGTACGTACGTGTGCCTCTCTGAATATACCAGTAGATCATGCTGCAAATTGTGTTTGAGATTCGAAGTCGCAAGTCATGTCTGTTAATTGTACATGCTCTTGCTAAAGTGTCACAGCAGCTGCTGTTTGCCTGAGTCTGCAGGCCACGAGATTCGGGCAGAGCGAGCACATCGTTTCACTACTGTGGCAGGAGCGCTGGGAAGCCAAACGGGATCAAACGGGCTTATGAATGCTTCAAATCTGACACTTCCCTAGATGCCGCTGGCACCAGGTAGCAGAGCAAAGCCAAAGGAGCAGGCACATTTGGGCATGGGTTGAGTGAGCGACATTTGTTATGATCGGTGTCGAAGTCTCAACGTGTTTTGTGCATGGGCATGTAGTCATGCACATGCGACGTCTCCAGAAGAGAACCATAGAGAACCATACTGCGTTGCCCGTCTCGTTGCGCAGCTCTTCCCTTGTGTAGGGCCCGGTGCAGGAAGCTCTTGCTGGACACGGAGTTGGTGCAGAGTGCACTTCACACCATCATGAAGCCAAGACCTCAAAGGCTGCTGTACTCGGCAGCTCCCGAAAACCGGAACGCACAATCCTTCTTGTCAAGACCTGCGGCGCTGCACTGCGCTGAGATGAGCTGAGGCGCCGGGCGTGGAGCCAGCGAGGCGCCGCTGATGGGCTATGCGGCTATGCAGGCCAGTCCGAAGCAGTTCGGGCCTCGTTCCGAGGTGGAGAAGACTGTTTGCAGCGCCTTCGCTGCGCTGGCTTCAATGTGGTTCGGCCTTCGGAGGCTCAGATGCTTTGGCCTGCAGACGAGGGGGTGCGGTCTGTAGTATGCACTTGTGCAGCGAGAGCTGTTCGTTGTTATGCCTGCGACATGTGTCCAGTGTACAGGCCAAAGGGTGCTCCTACAATCGCTCGCTACTCAGTCGTACGACGGACAAGCAAGAATGCCGTGCCCACGCTATGCAGGGGTGATAATTCTGCTATCATCCCTTATGTTGAACCGGTGGTGCCAATGTCTCAACCAATCAGAGCATAGAATCGGCACCAGAAAATGGATCGGGCATCAGTGCTCAGGCGTTGGTCAAGCTGGACGGCGAGGCGCCACGCCCAGACGCGGACATGCCTGGCATGCCCGGCAGCAGAATGTGCATGCTGCATGCGGCTGGCGAGTGAGTATTTGGTTGGACAAGTTGGATGCTACTCGTAGGTGCAACAGTGGACATCGAACCCGTTGGACTTGAGGTTTCACGATCCAAACAGTCCGTTCGTTTTCTGATGGATAGTGCTTGCTGTGTAATCTTTCATTAACATAATTTGACAAAGTTCTCTTCGGTTGATCTGTCGCAGGTGTTTTCGTGCAAAGCCTGACCGAATTTTGCCTCGTGATGATTCGCGATGCTCATGATACAGACCGCCCGTCGCATGTGTGTTTGATGGCAGGTCAATGTTAGCCCGTTGGGCAAAGGTATCAGGCTTGCGCAGGCCGATGCACGCGTAGGGGCGAACGACTTGAAAGGATCCCTCGCAAGTGCATCGCAACGGTGGTCAATTGCAGTGGTCAGAGTCGTCAGAGGGGTCGGTGCAGGTGCCACACCTTGATGGAATGGTTGCCACGGTCTGCGATACTCCAAGACCTAAAGCAGATGCAACCTGTATGTAGTATCCCGACTAGGACGGACGACTTCCAACTGCATCCGGCACGGGCGTTCATGAAAGTGTCAGGTGCAGTGGCCTCTGCTTGAGCTGAGCATCGACGACATGGATGGAATTGCAGTGTTGGCATGTCATGAGGTGTGCTCCCGAACTGGAGCTCCATGACAGATTTTCCCACATTGCAACATGCAATGCAAGCTGCATTGTTGCAAACGAAGAAGCGACACCTGACGTCGCGCCAGAGTCTTGCCTCAAGATCCCACTTCAACCTGGAATTGAATGTAGTATCGCTGCTGTTGTTTTTTTCCATCTTGTGGGAACTAATGGCAACGCTCACACCCTGAAAGTGTGGCATAGTGTGGCTTCCCTGGAGCCACTCTGCAACATTTGCGTTCAGCCTGCTTGACGTTTCGGACACTTGGCTGCAAGTGCCATGGTTGAAGAGCACGAATCACAAGTAAATACAAGCACCCTGGTTATCTGTGGCAGTGGAGCCTGTATTGCAAGGCTACTGATAGTGTCAGTTACACTTCGCAAACGCAGGACATGCCATTGAAAACTGCAAATCTGAAAGGTCGTGTCGCATCCTTTCCGCATGCATGGCTCCGACATGAGTTGACACACCGCAACGCAGTCCTGTGCGACTGAGGATGAGGTTGGCAAGACAAGGCACGGTTGAACGACACGTACATGTGCTGCAGTGCTTGCGCAGCCCAGTTGCTCGCCCCACTCGCCGTTTACTTGATTTGCTGGTACTGTTCATGTAATTTGAACACTAACATCTTCCGAAGGCGAATCTGCAGTTGAGGTCTCGCCGATGCATAAAACGTGAGGCGGCTTGAAATACCAACTTGCCTGATGCGACCAACGGATGTCAGAGTTTCAACGGTGACCTAAGGGTGTTGTCCCTTCTCCGATCTGTGTGTTGGACATCAGGCAACTTGACTTGGTGAGCTTGGTCATGCTGCAGCATCAAGACGTGCAGAGATAAGATGCAAGTATACGTGACCAAGCTCATCGTGCAGTTTTCCCCCACATGATGTGTGGAAGAGAAAATGAATGGTCGGAATGGTTTTCCGACGGCACCAGCTCACGGCTTGTGAGGTTCTCATACCCTGCAATGGTCAATAGTTTCTGCAATTCCGCTGTATGCTGCTGACTACTGCTGTTGCGAAAGAGGATCCCATTCCAGCACCATGTTGCTGAAGGCCACTTCGGTTGACAAAAGCGTGGAATGCTGGGGATCACCGCACGGAAGACTTCTCAGGAAGAGAGACACGTTTTTGTCGCAAGTGTGGGATATTCAGCCTCAGTTCCGCAAGACTTTCTGGGCCGCTTGGACTTGAAGCATGGGTCAATGCTGATTTGGCTTGTAGTGAAGCCAGTCTGGAGTTTGACCTGTCTGTCAATGCAGGAGAGAGTCGTCCAAGCTGCCCGTGATAGATTCAGATAACGTTTCTATTGGCAGATCCTGGCTTTAAGCCAGGTTCGAGATGCCAATAGGTCCGCTCGACGAATATTTTCTCTCTTTGCCGCCAGTCGAAGTGAGAGCCACTTGATTAGCAGTTTATCGAGAACAGAAAAAGCGCATCAGCAGAAAGACGTACGGACGCACGTGCCATTGTCCGTCATAGTCAAAGGGTTCTCTGAGAACGTGCACAGCTGAGACAGAGGACGAGGGAAGGGTCCCTTATAGGAAGGTGCTGGGTAGGATGCAGGCTGTGGAATGGAATGGGGGAGACCCAAGCTTCCGGATGTGCACTGCTGCACGGGTAACCTTGAGTGACCTTTCTGCTGCACGTGATTGATTGTTATTCTGTCCGAAGGCCTGTAGCGAGCGATCTGTTGTTCACCATGAGGACGTTTATGGTTTCGGAGAATTCCGTTTACTTACGATTTCCGTAAAAAAAGTACTCCTGCGACCCTAGAAGTGAAGGGAGCAGAATCCAGGGATGTTGGTCCCAGTAACACTGCTTGGCAATTCACACACGCTTCACAACAGAGGCGGGAGATCACAAAATAGTGGTGGTTGGTGTTCGGTTGGTCGATAGTCGGAAGGTGGATCAAGGTGGTGTCCAGGGATGTGCATCGTTTGCATCTGAACTTTCAAGCCGCCGACTTGACGTTGGGTATGACTCCTGTCGTTGTGTGACGCAATGGCTCATACGCCGTCATCGCCGACTGTATGTGTAGCCGGCGCCGCCAAGAGCTTGCAGGAGGCCTCCAAATTCCGTGTAAAGCTCCTACCTTCAGGGCCCACTACCCCCGCGGATCATCAGTGCTGGAAGTGCATGTGCGGAGCATCCCAACCCAGCAGACCCCCACATAACATGGGTGTGTGAGCTTCACGCTGATCTAAGAGCAGGTCTTGAGCCGCCAAGTGACAGCGCAGAGGAGCGATTGTTTGCACACAGGGTTTAGGGTTTAGGGTTTAGGGAACCCTAAACCCTAAACCCTAGGGCCAGGCGAGGGTTTTTTCGCGACTTAAGTGAATTGAGTTGTTTAGCCCCCGCG